TGGTTTATATAACATTTCAGACCTAAAGAAACCGCCTGTAATAGACAGATTTACCTCTTACATAATGCATGTTTAAGTATTAGTGTTGTTTTCAGCAGTCAACAAGAAAAATGCACTTTAGAAAGCCTTGTAGATTCTGCCTTATAAACCTTGCAGTTACTAGGTCACTATGTACAGACAGCAAGTTGTAAAAGAAATATGAAATGTTTCACCTTCTTTTATAATTGTTATGTATCAGCCAGACAAAGAGATATGTTTCCTGATCATTTATTATGTTGATGAAACTTCCTAATGGTATAAATATTAACATACATATTATTAGGTTTTGGCAACATGTATCTTTATATGAAATATGTACCATTGTAATTACCAATACTTTAAAATATATAAAAACTGTGCTTTAATAAATGTCATACTGCAAAGTGCAAACTATTTTTTCTTCCACTGTAAATGTTACAGCAGATTTCAAAGTTGCAATATCTAAAAAAACATTTTTGTTACAGATATGTTTGTACTTCATTTGTGACATAATAGCAATGCTACTATTGACCCTTCTTCATACACACTAGTATTTTGAAATAATTTGTCAAACATTTTAAATGTAAAATAAAAAAAAGTTAATTTATAACTGTGGATTTATTGCAACACGTCATTTTGTAGAGCAATGAATGCAATCTGAATTTTCCAACTTTTTCCTTCGTGTCCTATATCACTATACATGTACATGTTAGGTTCTTATATGCCTACAATTTTGCAGGCAAAAGAGAGAGAGAGAAATGGGGTTTAACGTCCACTCAACACAAACTAGGTCATTTCGGGATTAACATATGGTTTAATTTTATTTCAACAATTCACTTGCTCGTAGGGGTTTTTAGCAGTGGGAGGAAACCGGAGGACCCGGAGAAAACCCACGAGGTTGGACAGGCGACCCTACTCCTTGTCACATACAACCGGGGATTCGAAACCACGCCAGTCCACTCAATGACAGACTTTATGATACAGCGCGCGCACGCTAACCATTCAGCCATCCAACTCCCCAATTTTGCAGGCAAATCTGTAAGATGAAAGAAAAAATTGTTAGTCTCTGTCATTTATGGGAAATTTAATGTCTCTCAAACTACAATAATTTGAATGTTGAATAAAAGGAATATCAGTGTAGAAATGCTTCAATTCGATTCAATATTTGCAATATTGAAAATTTGTCAATACTTGGCATCCATTGCAGATAATAGAAACAGGATATTGTATAAACATCCCAGCACCACCTATAGGAATCCAAGCTTGATTTAATTTCCTTAATCAAATGTTAGATAATATATTTGGGTACATTTTGGCATGGTTTAAGCAGTGAAAATGCAAATGATGATCAGTGGCCAACAAATCTTCCACAAATGGAACAGGCATGTTCGTACATGTATGAAATATTAGATTATGCAAAAATACATGTACAGCTTTCCGAATATGCTGTTTCAGGGATGTGGAAGAAACTTAAATCCCCCGTCCTTCAAGGGATTGGAAAATTGCTCAAAACTGAAGTCTTATTTCTCTGATTCTAACCTGACAGATCTCACTGCTCTTCATGGTTGTACATAGTACAAGAAATACTTTATTTAGAATTTCAATAGTCTAAAGCAGATCATCTATTATAAATGATTCTATCATACATCTATATTGATATAATACTACCATAGTAGATGCGAGCATTGCAGTGAACGTGAATAAATATATTATGCATGTCTATAGCCAACAGCTGGTGTCATGTGGACATTATAAATATTCATATATAAATGACCAGTGTCTGCTACAGTAAAATACACTCAACACATTGCATGGATAAAATAATGTCTTTAGTGTTTTTATTTCATGTATTATAACATTTTAAGGCATCCCTGAATACAAAAAGTAAGGGGCATAAAGCCTCTATCCCTTGCATAAATATTCTTAACAATGGTTCATCTTACAACACAGATATTACAAAATATCTCCAAGTTCCTCATTCTAGCACATATATAAGGAATGCCCTCAAATCAATGTGAAAATATCATATAAACACATAATTACCTACATAAATAGATTTTTATTACACCGATCAATAAATAGGAGTTAATGTTAGGTTTATTTTATATTCTGTAGTAATTTAACCTTCTGGTTGTAGTTTATAAATTTTTACAAATTATTTACATTAATAACAACTTATTTTGTTGCACTTTACAGCAGAACATAAAACAGAATATTTATTTTTAATATTTAAATAGATAAATATAATATATTGATCCTTATAAAATGGCATCTATAGTGTTTTTAATGTAAGAAGGAAAGTAAAATATTCATAAAAGAAAGAAATAAATCAAGCAGAAGTAAAATACAAACACAATGGTCAAATGTTAACAAGAGCGTATGCAACTCTTTGAATTTTAATAATTTTGCTAAGATAATTCATACATATATCATTAAATTTTGTACTGAAACAAAATACTACGGAGATCCTAATGAAACCTAATTCTTCACAAATGTCTGATAGATGAATCTTTCGCATCATTTGGTTTTGATATGTTGAACTTGAATTCAGATAAAATTGACATATTGTTGTAGTACTATAGATTTTGTGATGTTATTATGTCTGTGGTAAAGACAACAGGATTATTATAAGTAAAATCAATACTATACTCTGTTATACATGAATACATTAGGTAGACTACTATTATTTTCTGTTCTTTTACAATGTAGTTCTATAACCATAATAATATTATGTACATGTAGACTGCATGAATAGTTTTACTATCATTGTTTATTATTTAAAAGATATGTTTATTCCAGCATATGTAGGTCATCTGTCCGACCCTCTGCACATATTTTTCTTCATCTGTGTAAGTATAGTATTTGTAATGACTACCCAACGAAAAATAAGATTATAGATGGATCCAAATTTCCCAATAAACCCACAATAAATTTTAAAAATTCACTATACGGAGTGTTTACCACGTTGTCTGCATGCAGTTGTCAATTTAGTGTACAATATTCACAGAATCCCTGGTAAGGGCAGTATGCTCCCATTCATCATCTAGCAAATGTACTAACCTCTACTAAGGCTAAATTTGTAAAAGAGCTTCCCTTAAAGTATCTTGAATTTGTTTGGTAAGAAATATATTTCCCAACAGACAGAATACCTCAATCGAACTGAACTCTTTGAAATGTATACATACTGCATCCTAAATCATCTATACTACGGTATAATCTCATCTCAGGAATGGATCAACTGATCTGTCTAAATTTTGCATACAATTAATTTGAACACCCCCACTGTAAGTTTCCAGTAAAATCAAATAATTAAGCTTAGTATGGGTGTGTGAATTTGGCTATGGCAGGACAGACAATTTATTCTATATCAATAATATTAAAAATGTTCCACTCAAAGACAAAATCATTAATATATCAAATTTCTCTTCTTGACCTTATAGCCCCTTTGTCACCACCCCTCTACCTATTCCTAAAACAACCCCTGCTATAAACCATCATATTACAGTTCATGATTAATCTTGACCCCATGGCCCCTTTGTCCCTTCCCCTCTACATCTCCCACCTATAAACTATCATTTATTAAAGTTTAATGCTCTAAAAAGAACTTTACATGTGGTAATAATTTGACTAGAAAATCTATATTTCAATACATCAAGTCTTCCTATTATCTAAGAACGCAATCTATACATAAAAGAGAATGAATAATTAGTCTTAACCAAAGTGTAGTATATGACTACAAGTACTGTAAGCTTATTTCAGAAAGTATGTAAAGAACTATTAATATTCATCTACCTAAATGTAAACATAGTGTGATTCATAAACATTAAAAGAAAATGATTTAGTCTTATTTCCTTAAAATAAATGAAAGGATTCAGTTTATAATTATAATCACTGTTGTGGCTGGTTGTGGCATGGGTAATATGATTTATTATAACTTGTGTTTACATTAGAATTAATTCTCTTTTCTTTATCCTACTGATGTCATTAGATGAGAACTAAACCTTATTTTGTTGGCATCAAATCTTAGTCATTAATAGCAGCCTGTCCATAACATTTTACAAGTCAAAATATAAATTGATACAAGCATTCATTTTTTGATGTTAAAAAAAATAAGCTTGAATCATAATGAATCATCTCATTTAAAATGAAGATGAGGGAAAGAACACATTTCAATATTCACTGAAAATAATTTTCAAAGGGAAATAAACTGTTTATAATATATGGTATAAAAAATAAACAAGTTGATTATGACACCATACCTCATATTTTTCACTGGGGAATATTTATGTATTTTTATATGTAATATGCATGTAGATATCCATAACATGGTAATACACACACATGAATGGCTACTATTATACCACAGTGTGAATTACAGTAGTAATCCCTACCAAATAATACACACCTTTAACAAATATTTCACAGTCATGATGAACAATGTGTATTTTAGAAGCAGCAATAATATTTTATGAGTAATTAAAGCAAAATATGTTGGATTCTAATATCTCATAAAGTATTGATTATATGGATAAAGAAATCAAAAGATGAAAATAGGACAGATGTACAGTATACACGAAAATCAAATTGTAGCTTAGATATAACCATTTGTTATAAATAATTAATAGCACTGACACTGAAAGAGTACCACGGTAATATCCGTGGGCGTGCATGACATAAGTTTGTGAATGGGTCGAACTTTGACATTATACTTTGTGAGAAACAGGCTTGTAAAATGAAAATGCCTATATCAGGAATATGAAAACTCTAAAACAACATTACAATGCCACGAAACCACACAGAGATATGTAATGAATTATATTACAAACAGTTGGAAGTAAGGTACAGCATTATGTTTCCACTTGACACATGTTAATGTAATGAAAATGGCATCGCCTGATTCTGACAGTCTTTGAATGTAATTATCATTTGCCTTCGAGTTTATATTATGAATGATGTACGTATAATATTATAGGTTTACTTACTGACAATCGCTCATTATTTCCTCTTGTGTGCGAATTTGAACTGGGGCAAATTTATCCGTTTGTTCTTCTAAATTACAAAAACAATTGTTAATTTTTTCATCAAACGAATTGACCAAGTCTTCCAGTGAGCCAGTGAACGTTTCGGCGAAATTTTCTGGCTGGCTATTTACATTTTTGTCTGAACACACACTGGCAGAGGTAGAATTATCCATTTCAGAATTGTTCTCGCCTTTATTGGCCGTCTGAAACTCGTTATACTCGTTCCATTCCTCGTTCTCAAACGATGCCAATGGAGCCTCAAACTGCAGCTCCGCCATTTTCGGAACTATCATTCTGTCTGCTCTGACAACCTTCACCTTGAACTTTAACCTTTGAACGTCAAGTTGATTTGACTCAGTCTTCGATAAACTTCTACTTCTATAGTAACTGTATGATGCACCACCAATCGATGGACGTGTTAGTACCGGAATCAATCCACTGCGTTGTTGTAATGTATCGGTTGCAATTTCATTCTGGACTATAATACAATGTATATTTTTATTAAAGGGACACAATCCCAATTTTTATGAAAATATTTTTGGTTGCCTCCCTTAAATATTGAAGCTCGCACGAGAGAGAGAGAGGATGGGGTTTAACGTCCACTCGACACAAACTAGGTCATTTCGGGACTAAAATATGGTTCAGTTTTATTTCAATAATTCGCTTGCGAGTAGGGGTCTTTAGCAGTGGGAGAAAACCGGAGGACCTGGAGAAAACCCACGAGATAGGGCAGGCGACCCTACTCCTTGTCACGTACAACCGGAGAATCGAATGGACCTTATAATACAGCACACAAACTAGCTAGGCGCTAACCACTCAGCCATGTAACCCCCCGAAGCTCGCCTAGACGATTTATTAGCGCATGGAAAAATAAATATATACTCCAATTAAAGCTATTGAATTTAGTACTAGATCTAGTTGGGGGTGGGGGCCAACGAGGGGAAATAATTGTCCCCATAGGCCCCACATTTTCGTTTGAGTACAAGATCATTGGATGACCTACAGATTCTAATTTAGAGTTGAAAATATGAAGGTCATAATGTGGGCCCTCATTTGGTCCATAATCTGCGCCCCATTTTAACACCTGGCTGTTGCATTCGATAGGGCCTGTTTTACACCAAAGGGCCCCTTTTACACGAAGTCTGGAGGAGATTCCCACCCTGCTTGGGGGGGGGGGGGGGCTTCGCGCCTAGCTCACTGGACCTTACGTCCCGAACCCCAGCCCGGTTAATCCATGCCTGGCTATATAGATGGACAGGAAACATTCTCTGCCCCCCCCCCCCACTCCCACCACAAACACCTTTCGTAGCCAGCGCCCCCAAAAAGCGGGGTTATAATGTGGCCATCAATTGCATGACTTATATGCTATGAGTATGAGTTTCACCATTTACAATCGCCTTAAAGTAGGTCCGGACACGCCTAAGAAATGGTGCATGTTACATGACTGGGGCCTGTTTCACGAAATTTTAACTAAGATAAAATCCAAATTTTAGTAATTTGATTGGATAATATTAGATTGATTTTAGTGCTTCGCCAATCAAAATTGAAGTATCTACTAAAATTTTGATTTTATCTTTAGTTACGATTTCGTGAAACAGGCCCCCGATAAGATGTGGTTTTTGAAAATCGAACCAAGGAAGCCCTATTGAACTTTATAGAAGAAGAAGAAGAATTGTTTTATTTATGTGTCACACATTGTACAATAACATTAAAAATACAATTTAAAAAAATAAAAGAGTACAGTACAATGTCCGGCCTTTAAGGCCCACGAGACACAACAAGAATGATGAATCATTTAAATATCTCAGCCACACTCCACGTCATCCCTATGCAAAGCTTATATATTCTTCAAAAAAAGTAGGAGATATTCAGAAACAATACAAAACTGCGGAAATGCACTGCTGTTTTTATTAGAGGTAACCAGTGTATGTTAATAACAGCCCAATTGCCTACACATGAACATAAACAGTTAATATGGGCGGCTTATCTGACGGCCCCATTTTACTAGCAAAGAGATACACCGTCAAAAGTGAAAATGGACGTTTTTGAATTTTGTCTTAATAATGAGTAATTGCTCCACCAATCCTCAGACATTCAGCAATTCGTCGTGGCATGCTCCTAATCAACCGCCCAATCACGACTTGGGGCAATCTGACCCACTCCTCTTGCAGTGCCATGGCCAGTGGCGGCGTCAGCCGTCGGTGGTTGGAGGGGCAAAGCTAGGGCAAAGTCCAAGGTTAAGGGGGTAAAGGCACGAGCTTCAACTAGGGGTAGGGAGGTCTCCCACAGACAATTTTGAAAAACAGGCTGCCGGAAATGCAGCCTGGCAGTATTTCATGCACTGATCGTTTAGGTTTTTAGTGTCAAACTAACGAACTTGCGAACTGCGACAAAGCCCAATCACGAGCGCCAAATTGGGAGACCTTCCACAGACAATTTTGAAAAACAGACTGCGGGAAATGCTCTGACAGTATTCAGTTCGGCACCGATCGTCGTGATAAATAGATCTGACCAGATACCGTCCGTCGCCTGATCACTAGTTTATCTGACCAGAGAACAAAATATCAACGAAGTCCCCTTGTGAGCGCCAAAGTAGCGAGTCCTTGTGGGGGTATTGGGGACTCCCCCCCCCCCCCCCAAAAAAAAAAAAAAAAAAAAAAAAAATTTTTTTTTTGTAAAAATAAACTGTCGGAAATGCATTCTGAACATCTGAGACACGCTACCTGCGGAGAAGTATCTCAGACCCAGTCAGTAGCCATGATATCCATATCACGTGATCTACACATCACAGGTCATGACATTGGCGTCGACAATGGGTCATGAGGTCAACATTGTAAACAATAGGTTTATCTTCAGCATCGTGTCCGTTGCACCCATAAAGACTATATAATTCGTACAGTCCCAACATGTTCTCTCTTCTTCCAATGATTTTTCACAAAAATAACATCTACAACTCATAGAATTGACGTTGTCTTCAATGACAGCGTCTGCGAGGGTTGTTCAAAGAGGCCGCCATATTGCACTATTTTGTGCGTCGGTCGGGTCTATTTCAGATATACACAATCAATTCTGTTGATGTTTTTAGCGTTGGGATTGACTAATAGTTAATGTGTTTCAGTTCTAAAACAAATATTTTAAACTTTAACGCAAATTTAGAAAATAGCCAAATTCTGGCTGGGATTACTGAGCAAAATGGCCATTCACTGTATACGTGCGAAAAAAAAGCTAGCCGCCAATTAATTTTCGTACGTTAGTTATGTACGTCGGAAATGCTGTCTGACAGTATTCATGCACCGATTGTAGAGATAAATAGAGCTGATCAGATGCAGTCTGTCGCCTGATCACTAGTCTATCCGACCCCAGAGAGGAAATTGTCAAATGAACGGACTTGCGAACCTCAAAGAAGCCCCCGAAAATTTTGAAAAATTGAATGTCGGAAATGCAGTCTCTCAGTATTTCAGGCATTGATCGTCGAGATAAATAGAGCTTACCCGATACCGCCTGTCGCCAACTACTTTATCCGACGGACGGAGTGAGTGACTTAAAGTGGATGAATATTTTCGCCACGATATTTTGTGACATAGACTGCCGGAAATGCAGCATTTCAGACACTGGTCGTCGAGATAAATAGAGCTGACCAGATACTGTTCGTCGCCAAATCACCAGCTTATCCGAATAGAGAGGGTTGTGTCAAACGAACGGAGTGAGTGTATCAAGTGTATGCATATTTTCGCAGCGTTGACCTATAAACTATAACCAAAAAAAGCACTTCCCAAGTGATTCACGTGTTATTGTTTATAGTAGGTCTACAGCAGGATGAGCTTGGTAAGAAATCACTCCGACTCTACAACATGCAAGTCTATGACTGAGTGGGAATGTGGGGTTTAATCACTGTAGAAGGTATTGATTACCGAAACCTATCACAAATACTTTTTTTTATTTTCTAAAATTATTGGGGGGGGGGGTGGACAAACAGAGGGCAGACCAGATTTATGGGGGTGCCGCCACTGGCCATGGCCAATTTTTGCAGTGCTGTCGGTTAAAGTTGACGTCGACGAACACGTCTCCCGATCAAATTAAACGTAACGCACTAAAGCAAAGATACGCTAAACAGTAAATCTTATGCAAGAACCCATAGGAAAGCAAACATGGATAGATAAACTAGCACGCGGCAGTTTTCATCAACCCTTCCTTGAAGTGTCAAATTTGACAATGAACCCCTTCCACGTGTATGGCGCTATTGCGTGTCGCATGTACAGTTGAGTGGTTCTGTTGGGCGATAAGTTCTTCATCTGTGAACATACTCTCAAAGCATGTCAAGTGTCCATGACTATTTATCATATCACAACCTGCATAGGTATTTGCATTTCAATGTCCCCTACTTTTTTTGGGAAGAGTATATTAGAGTCCGGTTTAGTGCAGACAAGTAGGACGTTAAACTCTATTTCATTTCAATTTAAACATTGTGACAATTTGACTAAAAATAGCGTATTTAGTTTTGAAAAATAATTCATGCAAAACTTTTAAATTTTGACAGCATCACACTGAATAAACGTGTCTCAGGTTTAAAAAAAAACCCAATATTTATCGTGTACAGTACACACGAAATTTTTTGGGGAAAATAAAACGACCATGCGTCTTTGTTTGCAACATCCTTGGTGTACCTTTATAACCACAAGCGTTTTTCATGATATGAATACTGATGTTTTTCTGTGAAATATCTCCATTATTTACAAAAAGTATATCATTTCAAATTCACTCATTCCTCTTTCTGCCTTGACGCACACGTCAATGCTTCTGATTTGCTGAGAAATGTTATATATTACAACAAAAGGGGCGAAGTAAATACGGTGGCTGGTTTATACGGTGGCTGATTTAGGACACGCAAAATTAATTCAAGCGCCGAGATACTAAGTCAATAAGCGCACGAGATAATACAATCGAACACGTCTCAACTGATGTTTTAAGTTCTATAAGTTTGTGCATTATTTAATGATAAACTTGCAGAATAAAGATATTCATTTGTTCGTTTTTACAGCCCATCCAAAGCTGCAGTGACGGAGCGGAATATTTAGCAACAGGAATATATGTGGTGCCAGGGATAATTTGCAAATTTATTAATAATGACACATTTCATTAAAGAGCGTTCTAAGGTTTCCTCGGGTCACACCTGTTTTAATAGTGCTTTTAAAAATCTGTGATTGAGGGCAGGACCGCCAACTCATCATACATACTGTATTTATTATCCGGTTTTCTTTCATTGCTGTTTTGTTTAGCATATTGCTTTGGTATTCGCGAACTGAATTACAAATATTATATGTACATAGGCGTACGGGTCCAATGCATGTTAGGTGGGCAGACCTGAAATGCCCGAAAAAAATCTCCGTCAA